GCTCCCCCCCCCCCCCCCCGAGGAGCCGTGTGGCAGCTCCCCACCCCCAGCTCACCTCTGCTCCGCCTCCTCCTTGAGCACACCGCCCCCGCTCTAATTCTCCTCCCCTCCCAGGCTTGCGGCGCCAAACAGTTGATTGGCGCTGCAAGCCTGGGAGGCGGGAGAAGTGGAGCAGCGACTGCACGCTCGGGGAGGGGGCATAGGAACACTGTAAAAAAAATTGGGGGCACCACTTTTTGCCACCCCCAAATCTTGGCGCCCTAGGCAACCGCCTAGTTTGCCTAAATGGTAGCACCGGCCCTGGCTGTAAAGCTGGAAAAGCATAATATATGATTTTCAGGCCAGGATTGGGGCCTGACACCAGACTTTGCTGCGGTGAGCAATGTTAATACAGTCTAGGGTTGCTAAACCTCCAAGATTGTCCTGGAGTCTCCACTAATTAAAGGTTAATCTTTAATTAAAGATTATGTCATGTGAGGAAACCTCCAGGAATACGTCCAACCAAAATTGGCAACCCTTCTACTAGTCTCATGCTCCATCTTACCCACCCTCCTCACCCTTAATCCGGAGTTGTAAATTATATGTAACCAAGCTCCCCAGGAGGGGACATGCATAAAACCTCATCCAGTTTTCAATCTTTTTATTTACTTAATCTGTACACAAATGCAAAATACTTCAACAGCAAATCTAAGTGAAACTTGTTTGGTTTTAAATTACTATGGAACAGAACCTAAAAGAAACTTTATTAAATAAACATAAAAAATGGATTTAAAGGATGTACATATTGTAATGTATTCTACAACAGTTGTTTTTTCACTATACGTTCCATGTGCGTACGGTATAGAAAAGACATTGAATAGAACAAACAGAATCCATTTTGTACCCTGAAAGAATCGGTAGGCCTTGTGAGGGATTGCTCAGTACAACTACATGATATATGATGGCTTTGCCATCTCATAAAAATTATAACTAATATGTTGGCCTCTTTGGTTCCAAAATTTATGTATAATACATTTAAATGTATTCATTTTTGCTGCTATAAAAATAACTTTTTTTTTCAAATGGCAGGTTTTTTTGACTAATCATGCAACTAAATCAGTGCAAACATTAAAAGCAATCATTCGCTTTAAAAAAGAAGCAAAAGATTTAATTTCAAGTATAAAAAAATATAAAAAAGTCATATCATAAGTCCAGTTTTGTCTAGTATGGGTCAACACTTTAAATTGCATAGCTCATGCGGCACCTGTTTACCTAGATAGTGAGCAAAGATAAGTGCACTATCAAGTACCACTTTTCAAGGCATTGAAATCTGCAAGTGCTATAATATGTGCATTCAAGCAGTTTGCAAGTGCTATGCTGTATCTTTATTTTCGGATCTTTATGGCCATCCTTGACACTTCCTTGGTAAAGAAATTCAAAGCACTCTCCTCCTTTCCAAGACTTGTTAAAATGTTCTTCACCTGTTATTAAATGCACAGCATTTTTCAGAATGTCTCCACCATGTTACTGTAATTCCTTTTAGGGTTCATTGGTTTAGTTGTGGTAGCATTTGTTTTTGTTCGTTTGTTTTTCTCCCACATTACATGTCCTTGCGGAGTCTCCTGCTGAAACACACAGATTGCAACTTTGATTTTTTGTTCTTTTTTTGTTCTTAGAACAGTGAGATGCTAATGGTCAGCACAATCCAGATATGACAGAAAAGCCCCTTTTCAATGGCACAACAGACACAGGCGTCCATGGATTTCTAGCAGTCAGTTAAAGCATCAAATAATGCCAACCAAACATGTGATTTAGAAGAATACAGAAACAGTCTCAGAATTACAGAATTACAGTAGCTGCTTATGTGTATCTCTCCCTCTCTCTCTCATGTTACCACTTACTGGAAGTGCTGTTGGAAGATAAGGATGTGTGTGGTGTTTATATTAGGAGATTTTTAAAACCTGCATAGGCAGGTGGACTGCGGCTTCCCTTTGGACCTAAGAGGTGATGGTCATTTTTAAGTTTGGTGATTTTGACACCTGCGTGCAAGAATATATTATGTTCTCTCTTTTTTGTGTTCTTTTGTATGAGCACATAGAGCTCATTTCAGTCCAACTTCCCAGGCAGGTGGGGAAACAGCTGCTTAGCCATTCACTTGTACTGGCAGGCATTTTAGTTATGTTGTCACTGGTGATTGACTTCCTGTTACTTGTATCGTGTGTGTGTGTGTGTGTGTGTGTGTGTGTGTAAAGTATTTCATAGCATTAGTTTATAAGTGGTAGAATATTTAAATGTCCAAGATCCACAAATTGCCACTGTCCTGACACCGATGTAAAACTTTTTTTTTTTGCCAGACTTTTCCACAGTGACTTAACACCGATGCCTGGATACACAGTGAAACTTCCTCCAATACCATCTAGTACGGGAATGTTCTCTTTCTCCCCCCAGAAACACACCTTAAATCAAGCACAACCACATTCTTCCACAATCATATTGGGAACGTCCCTTTTCACAATGTTGTATTCATCATCAAAGTACAGCATTGACATTGTGCTAAGTTTGGTTGGAATGCAACAGGAGTTCACGGTGCCTGGGTTCAGCCCTCGCATGCGGTACTGATTCACTACTGCAGTGTGAAAAGAGGAAGCTGATCCCGGGACTCCAGCCAAGTAGGCTGGGCAGCTCCCTTCACAGTAATTCCCATAGTAACCTGATGGCGCTATGATCCAGTCATTCCACCCAATGAGTCTAAAGTCAATGTAAAACTGTTGCCTGCAACATAGATTGGTCCTGCCATCACACTCCAGGCCTCTTTTCCGGATCCTGTGTTTGTTGTCAGCTAAGCGGGCTTGCACCACTAAAAAAGGCCGGTGGGATTCCTCCCCGGGGTCCACATAAATTGGCAGCACTGAATACTCTTCACAGCCCTCACATTGAACATCCAGGTTCAGTCTCCTTTCTCCTTTCTCAAACAGAGCCTGGATCGCCTCTGTCATGGGAAAAGTGTGCCAACCACTTCTTTTGAGATCAACTTTCTTTTCAACCACATTCCACTTGTTGCTAGTGTCCAGGTCTTGGAAATAGACTTTGACTCTTACTTTTCGCCTGCTGCCTTTCTCTAAGACATATGGAAGCAGCTTCAAGTAAAGCCACAGGCTGGCTTGAACGACAAACAAGTTCTGGTTCCCTTCATTTGAGATGAAGAAATAGAGGCGGACTCTAGATGAGGCCAGATCATCTGCAAGAGAAGGAGAGATCAGCAACATTAAGTCAAGAACAAAATGTACTATTTGCGCAATTCTGGATTCAGAAACAATGCTAGAACATAACTGATCAAAACTGCTGGGAGAATTTATTAGCCAGGAATAATGCACTGAATTAAAGGTCCAGAATTTGTACGAGAAATACATTAAAAAATGACTTCCCAGAGCAAAAATCTAACCTGGCTATAGCTGAATATGTCAGATCTGCAGAAAGCAACACAAATTCTTTAGAGCCAGAGAGATTCAAGCAGGGGATCAGAGTACCCTGAAAAGTACAGCATTTGTACCTTAATATCTACTAACTAGTTTAGGAAAAGGTTCAGCTTTCAAATACCTTTTGGTTTTTACAGGAAAGGCTTTTTAGCAACCAGTGAAGCTTCAGTGACTAATGAAGGATTTTGTTACAGTTTTCCCATATGCTAATCTTACTTAACAGATAGCATGCAAAACACCAGGGAAAGTGTTCTCAAAAGCATGTCCACTTGTACAAAGGGTTAAAACTAATCTAGATCTACTCTTCTGAAGTAGCAGGGTATCGCCCATCAGATTTTGATCTCTGCCTTCCCTCCCCCCCATAAATTCTAAAAAGAGGTCAAATAAAGCAGCCGTGGTCATTGTAATATCCTTCTGGTCTTAATGTCAGAATTAAATGAGTGAAACCATCACTGATATTCCACCCAATGTCTAGCTTTAATACATTATTTGCAACCAAAAGAGTTCACTGCATGAAAGGTACCAGAACCAGGGCCGGCGCTTCCATTTAAGCGACCTAGGTGGTCGCTTAGGGTGCCAGGATTTGGGGGGGTGGCATTTGCCGCCCTCGGCAGCAATTCGGTGGCGGAGGGGGTCCTTCCGCGCTCCGGGTCTTCGGCAGCAATTCTGCAGCGGGTCCTTCACTCGCTCCAGGACCTGCCGCCGAAGGGCCCCGAAGACTGGGAGCTTGAAAGGACCCCACCCTCCGCCGCAGAATTGCCGCTGATGACGGGGAGCGCGGAAGGACCCCCGCGTAAGGCGCCGAAAACCCTGGCACCGCTCCTGACCAGAACTACTTGTATCTGCTGGAATTATGTGCTACAAGCATCACACAGCTATGCTTTAGGTGATAAATGTCCAGTCTAGACTTTTTAGCAAGCCTTTAACCCACGTGTTCTAATTACATTCTCCTGATTGCTATTTAAAATTATTGGATTAACAGGTATTTCTAATCTGTTACAATCTGATTTCTTTCTGTATATTGCCAAACACCAATTTTTATCCCTTTCGGTTGCCCAGGAACCTTTGTTCTTTTTGTCCACCTATACATCTTTCAAGGGTTTTGTATAGTTAGAGTCTAGTGTGTCACCCCAGATCCCTTCAAAATAGGTCTGTTAGGCCCAGGCAGTGTATATAAGGTTTCTGGTACCTTATCATGTTTGCTGTGTCTATATATGTTTTATATAAAACAGATTTGGAAGGTGTTGCAAAAATAAGTGATTGTCAATTGAGTACTGAATAGAACTGCAACCCCAGCAGTGATGTCATAGCATTAGACTTTTAAGAAAATGGTAAAAAAAAAAAATAAACTGCAATAAAAATCAATGCTAAAAAAATCCTATTACGTGTCAACACACAACTTTTCTATAAACTGTGATCACAGTGAAAGGAAATCAACAGCATAGTATCATTACATCAGTACATATGGCATAAGAGCACCTAAGAGATACATATTCATAAGTAATATATAGACCTATAAATATTTATGTGAATATAAACAGACAAGCACGTATCTATTTCATTTATACACAACAGATACTGTAAATGTATATGCTTTTGATAGGTAGCTGGGTAGATGCAGTAGATGGATGGGCAGTACACATACTAATAGACTTTGTAGTTGGGTGGGTAATCAGATACCCCAGACAGATAGAAATAAACTTAGTGATACAGCAGATTGTTGGAGGGATTGAGGGATACAGCAGGAAGACAGGCATGTACCTATGGTAGATTGACAGTGTAGATGGATATGTAAAGGCCATAGATCTAGTGGATGAATGGATGGATGGATACTGCAGGTTAGATAGACAGATACAGCAAATGGATCAGATGGATGAACAGGTGCAATGGCTGGATGAATAGGACTGATATGGTTGATGGACAGGTATTGTGGGTGGGTGGGTGGATGGATGGATGGATACAGTGCACATGTGGATGGATGGATGACAGCCAGAGCAGATGGACAAACATAGTACATAAAAGGTGGAACATAGTAGAAGATGGATAGATTAAGTGGAAAGATGGACTGAAAGAGTGAGTGGATAGATCAATAAAGTGTGTGGATGGATGAATGCACTAGGTGGCTGGCAGATAGAGAACATGGGTGCAGGTGAAGTATGGATAGATGGGGTGGGTAGGCACAGGGGCGGCTCCAGGCATCAGCGCACCAAGCGCATGCCTGGGGCGGCGAGCCGCGGGGGGCGGCCTGCCGGTCGCCGTGAGAGCGGCAGTCAGGCTGCCTTCGACGGCATGCCTGTGGGATGTCCGCCGGTCCCACAGCTTCGGCAGCAATTCGGCGGCGGGTACGCCGAAGGCGCAGAACCGGCGGACCTCCTGCAGGCATGCCGCCAAATCCGCATTACCAGCGGACCTCCCACGGGCATACCATCAAAGGCTGCCTGACTGCCATGCTTGGGGCAGCAAAATACATAGAGCCGCCTCTGGGTAGGCAGATGGATGGGTGCAGTGAATGTGTACAGTGGATCAATGGGTACACTGGAAGGATGCAACAGAGGAGACTGAAGGACATACAGACACGGGATGATGGAACAGACAGGGCTGTAAGGCATGTGAGTGGTGGATGGATGGATGGAGCGAGCAGAGGACATATGGAGGGAGGAGGTGAATGGATATAGCAGTGGGGCTGGAGGTTGTGGGTGGATGGATGAGTATAGCAAAGGGGGTGGATGATATGGTGGTTAGATGGGTAAAGTGGATGTGGTGAATGGATGGGTTGGTGTAGCAGAGGAATTAGAGGATATAGAGAGATGGATGGAGTGGATAAGTGAGGGTTGCAGAGCTTGTTGAAGGACAAGTGGAAACGGATGGGTTGATGGATGAATCTGTCAGTCAGGCAGAGGTGATGGATGGGTGACTGGGTATAGCAGAGGGGGTTGGATGGCATGAGTAGAGGAATGGCTGTAAAAGAGGAGGTGGGGAAATGGAGG